GTCATCTGCTACCACTGAGAACAGTCTATATCCATCCTCTTTGGAACCCCCCTTTCAGGTAGTTGAAAGCAGCTATCAAATCCCCCCTCATTCTTCTCTTCTGCAGACTAAATAATCCCAGTTCCCTCAGCCTCTCCTCCTAAGTCATGTGCTTCAGCCCCCTACCCATGAAAAAGATCAAGAAAGAAAGAAAGTGATTCAGACTCTTCCAGAGTGAATACAAGTTCAAACATGGTATAAATATGCCATGCACTGCTACAGACTAGGGACCGAGTGGCTAGGTAGCAGTTCTACAGAAAAGGACCTAGGGGTTACAGTGGATGAGAAGCTGGATATTAGTCAACAGTGTGCTCTTGTTGCCAAGAAGGCTAACGGCATTTTGGGCTGTATAAGTAGGGGCATTGCCAGCTGATCGAGGGACGTGATCATTCCTCTCTATTCAACATAGGTGAGGCCTCATCTGAGTACTGTGCCCCACACTACAAAAAGTATGTGGAAAAATTGGAAAGAGTCCAGCGGAGGGCACATCTACACTGCCTCACAGTTCAGACCAAGGGGGTGTGAATAGCAGTGCACAGCAAAGTGCTCTGCTGTAACTACCCCCACATGGATGCTGTGGGCACTACTATTTTAGAGGTCCGGAGCTTGCACTAATGAGGTGCACTTGCAAATCAGGCAGTAATGTCTCCTTGGCTTTATCCGTGTGTCTGAGTAGCTGTGCTCTGAAAAGGGAAAGTGGGGAGGCCCTGTTAAAAATAAAGCTAATGCTAACCCCAGATCTGTAGAATAATGATATACTGTTCCTTCCCAGTCATCTGCCTCTTGCAAAACTCACATGCTTTTAAGTGACTGCTTTATGTGTGATTCTTTCAGGGGGTTGTATTTGATTTAAACTTTCTTAAGCATATGGTTTTGCAAAGGGTTTTAAAAAGCTCCATTACTCTGAAAAAAAAAAATCCTGCTCTCGTTTGCCTGGTTTTGTGTTTCTTGGCTCGTTTACAAAACGGGCTTCAGGAATCAGAGCTGGATTCTGCAGGACGCTGAACATCTTCTAGCCCTGCAGCACCACTCGGGATCAGGTCCGTAATTCATTCTTTCCTGTATCAACTGCTGCCCGAGTGGCACGGGCGAGCAGGATAGTGTAGGATCGCTGCCAGTTCAGAATACGGGGAACTCTGACACACCCACTTTCTCCACTGCCCTATAGTAATGTATAGGATCTCAAAACGTGCAGCCTGTTTCAAGACTCTGGTCTGAGGCAAATGAGGTTAAAACCAGTAGGCGTGCCACCTCCATAAACTGAAATCCCCAAGCTCACCGCAGCTGGTTCTGAGTCCTTGCATCTTCTGACACATGCATCCAAACATGATTATTGTTTATTGTTTACATTCCAGCAGTGCCTAGGAGCCCGAGTCATGGACCAGGCCCCAGCTGTTCTCGGAGCTGTACAAACATAGAACACAAAGACAGTCCCTGCCCTGAGGGGCTTGCGGTGGTTGTTTACCAAGGAAATACTGTTTGAATGTACCCAGAGAAATCTATCTATGCTACTGCAGCTGGGATTTGGGGGAGATTGGGATTGGCTGGGAGAGAAACTGGGACTGGCTGGGCAAGGAGACTGAGGACCGTAGGATGAAGGGGAGGCTGGGACTGGGAGCTGGAGTGGGGAGGAGAGAGGAGGCTGGGACTGGAATGGAAAGGAGATTGAGACAGAGTCGTGGAGGGAGAGGCATCTGGAATTAGTTGGGTGGGGAGGCTGGGACTGGTAGTTGCAGGGAGGGGAGGCTGGTACAGGTTAGGCAAGGAGACTGGGACTGCAGGCTGGGGGAGACTGGGTCTGGGAACCAGTGATAGAAATGTGGGAGAGCAGGAAAGACAAACCAGTGGTTAGGGTACTTGACTCGGACTTGGGAGAGCCATGTTCAATTCCCTGCTGCTTCACAGACTTCCTGTATGACCTTCGGCACGTCACTTAGCTTCTCCGTGCCTCAGTTCCCCATCTGTAAAATGGGGGTGACAACACCGTTCTGCCTCACCTGGGTGTTGTGAGGATAATGATTCTTGGCTGCTCAGATACTGCAGTGATGGGGGCCATGTGAGGGGTGTGTGGGGAGGAGGAGATACAGGGACTTGGAGGTTGGGACTGGGTAGACAAGGAGCCAGGGATGGGGAAGAGACAGGACTGGGGCAGGTTGGAGGAACAGGGCAGAAGGGGTCAGGTTTGTGGGGAATGGGCAGAAGAGTCCGAGCCACTAGAGCACACTCCCGTCCAGAGCCTGGACTGGAACCCAGATTCCTGAGTCTCGCCATTTCCCTGCTGTCCACAGTATCTGTGAAGCCCACCGGCAAAGCGTGCATCTCGTCCCTCTGGGAGCCTGGTCCACGCAGAGCATGACAACCTACTCCTGCCGTCACCAACTCCATGGGCTCACGCGGCAGAGCTCTGTGTGGTGGGTCTAAAGGTTCCAGCCCTGCGGCGGACGCGTGGGTGTCAATATGACGCCACACGATGGAATTTCTGTTTTTTTCATTTTGCCTTTTTAAAAACCTAAGAAATTAACACACAGAACCCACCAAAAGAGCATTATTAGGGTTGTAAAGTCAAGCACGCAAAGGTCGGGAAACACCAGAGTTAAGGTTGCCTGTGCAACCTTATCTCAGTTCCCTCAGATGCATGTATTATGATACCGTCTTTAATTACATGATCCCATACTGCTTTTTCCACAGAACCTCGGCCTCATTCAGTGAGCAGCCTGGACAGTGCCTACTTAGTGAGCGGCTATTCAGTCGTTCCATGTGCAGCCCCATGACTTATTTACCACACACTATTCAAACCTTGCTCTTATTGATTTCCTTGTGAGCTTTTCCAGGGTGCTCATCACTGTAGTATCCAGTGCTTCATAAACACTAATTAATTTATCTTCACAACACCCCTGGCAGGTGGGGGAGTGGTGTTATCCCCATTTCACAGATGGAAGGGTGAGGCACAGAGAGATTCAGATTAAAAGTGTAACTTTGGGTGAGACGACTAGGACCTGATTCTTCAGCATTAAATAGCATTTTATTTGTTCAAGGCACCTGCGAGTGCTCAGCACGTCCGCAAATCACACCCCAGGGTCTCAAGTTGGGCTCCCAGAAAATGAGGCACACACAAGTAGTGACCACCCGTGAAAAGTTTGGGTTAAGTGACTTTCCAACACTGCAGAGGAACTCTGTGGCAGAGGCAGGGAGAGACTCCAATTCCCCAGGGCAGCATTCAGCTGCCATAACCATGTGACTGTCCTTTCTCTTGCTGGGAACCTCTGTCTCATTCACTACACACCTTCCAGCTTCCACAGTAAATGAAGTAGGAATGCTACAGCTAGGAGAACCCTTCACTGCCCACCCCTGATTGCTCCCCAGAACAGGCCCCTCCTGTGCATTGAATGAGGCAGGGGTTCTATGCAGGGGCAGCACCAGCTCTTCCCGGTGGGGAGGCTGAGGTGGGCCTTAGCCCCCCTTCGCCATGAGGCCCTACCCTTCTCCGTGGCCCTACCTTCTGCTCCTCCTCTCCCTCCCATGGCCTCGCCCCCCGGCCCCATCGGAAGCCAGAGCCGGGCAGTGCTCGCAGCCACCACGAGCGGTGGCGGACTTAACTCTGGGGCTGTCAGAGCCTTCAGGGAACTGCCCTGGGCAGCATGCCCCAGTGGGCGGGGACATAGGCCAGAGACTGCTCTTGGGCACCCCTGTCCCCAGCCCGGGCAGGCCAGCAGTTGCTGCTCTCTCTGCTCTGCCTTCAGTCGGAGAATGGCAGTTGCTACAGGTACCATAGATAGATTTCTCTGGTTACATTCAAACAGTATTTCCTTGGTCAGGGGCGGCACCAGCGCACCAAACGCGTGCCTGGGGCGGTGGCCTGCCGGTCGTCGTGAGGGCGGCAGTCAGGCTGCTTTCAGCGGCATGCCTGCGGGAGGTCCGCCGGGGTCCCGTGGATTTGGCGGCAATTCGGCGCCGGGTACGCCGAAGCCGCGGGACTGGCGGATGTCCCGCAGGCATGCCACCGAAAGCAGCCTGCCTGCCGTGCTTGGGGCAGCAAAATACATAGAGCTGCCCCTGTCCTTGGTGAATCCCCTGCCTCCAGCACCACTCCTGGTTCTGTGGAAAATATAGTATGTGATCTTGTGATTAAAGATTGTATCATAATGCATATGCACCAGGGGGCCAAGTTAAGGTTGTACAGGCGACCTTAATTCTGGCATCTCCTTACCTTTGACTGCTTGATTTTGCAACCTTCATAATGTTCTTTTAGTGTAGCTTTTGAGTGTGTAATGTGTACAGATACCTATGCTCTCAGCGTTTACGCTCCTATTGACTATCTCTTATATACTGTAATTGACTACTAGCATGTTAGGCACTCCACTGATAGAATCATAGCTATTCAGCTGTGTCATAGGATCTGTATTGCTAACGGAGAGTCTCAGCTAGCATTTAGCTCAAGTGGTAGGGAGACCTGTGCTATTGGAGTAGGAGAATCAGATCTCTATCCCCACGTCATCAAGTTTAAAGTGATGGTTGCATGCAGCATAGTGACAATTGTGAGATTCCAAAATGGCCATCGGTTTGTTTGTAGTATAAGGCCCTGACCCTGCAATGAATGGACAGACCTCTCAACCCACACGGAGTCCCATTGACTTGAGGGCTTTGTCCATGGGAGTTCACTATAAGATCAGGCCTAAACATATCCAATGTACTGCATTTATTTGTGCAAATAATGGAAACTACTTATAATGAGCTTGGGTATAGTGATATAAATTGTTTCAGTGACTTGCAATGTACAAATTACAATTCCACTTCTACTGAGCCTCTCATAATAGTGATGCTGATCTCTGGAATAAAATAACTTCACCCTGATATCATCCTGCTATGTACCAATGCCACTATTATAATGAGGTCTGTTGCTATGACCAAACACAGCTGCATTAACTTATACGTTATGTTTTTTCTTCCTGCTTTTCTTGCAGGTTATAAATGATTAGCCCTTATGACCAACATGAGCTGGAGTTTTCTCACCCGTCTGCTAGAAGAAATTCACAATCACTCCACTTTTGTGGGGAAGGTCTGGCTCACCGTGCTGATCGTCTTCCGTATCGTCCTGACGGCTGTCGGAGGGGAGTCCATATACTCAGATGAACAGAGCAAATTCACGTGTAACACCAAGCAGCCGGGCTGTGACAACGTCTGCTACGATGCCTTCGCACCGCTATCACACGTCAGGTTCTGGGTCTTCCAGATCATCATGATCTCAACCCCTTCCATCATGTACCTGGGCTATGCCATCCACAGGATCGCTAGGTCCTCCGAGGAGGAGAAGAGGCTTAAGGTACTCAAGAAGAAGAAGAAGCAGTTTGCTTTGAACTGGCAGGCTGTCCGTAACTTGGAAGACCCTTTGGAAGCAGACGAAGAGGAGCCCATGATCTCCGATAACACGGTGGAAAATGAGGAGAAAGCCAAAGCAAATAAGAAGACCAAGGAGCAGCAGAAGCACGATGGGAGGAAACGCATCCAGCAAGAAGGACTGATGAAGATTTACGTCTTCCAGCTCATTGCCAGAGCTTCATTTGAAGTTTGTTTCTTGGTTGGGCAGTATTTTCTCTATGGCTTTGAGGTGGAAGCATATTTCGTCTGCAGCAGAGCCCCTTGCCCTCACACCGTGGACTGCTTTGTGTCAAGGCCGACAGAGAAGACCATCTTCCTCCTGGTGATGTATGTTGTGAGCTGCCTGTGTCTGTTGCTCAACATGTGTGAAATGTTCCACTTGGGGTTTGGGACCATTAGAGATGCCATTCGCAACAGAAAGATTAATAGTTTCAGGCAGCCTCCATACAACTATTCCTACTCGAAGAATATCTCCTGCCCTCCCGAGTATAACCTGGTTGTGAAATCGGAGAAGCCTGCAAAGGTCCCAAATAGCTTGTTAGCCCATGAGCAGAACTTGGCTAATGTTGCTCAAGAACAACAGTGCACAAGCCCAGATGAGAACATCCCGCCAGATCTGTCCACCCTTCATAAACACTTGAGGGTGGCCCAGGAGCAGTTAGACATAGCATTCCAGAGCTACAATGCCACTCAGGCCAACATGCAGCCTTCCAGAACCAGTAGCCCACCTTCAGGTGGGACTGTGGTAGAACAGAACAGGGTCAATACTGCCCATGAGAAACAAGGCGCTAAGCCCAAAGCCAGTTCAGAAAAAGGTAGTTCTAGCAGCAAAGATGGAAAGACTTCTGTATGGATATAATTGGGTGCTTGACCATAGCTCACAGACAGGGCAATGTAAGTAGAGGTTTGTTTTTTTCCCAGCATTGTCTAGAATTCAATTCACAGAGCACAGGCACAATTTGTACGTGGGAGTAAATGTAGCTGAAGGATGAGTTGTTTCAAACGTTACATTTGAATAATGTCTTCTGGTGCGTTAACAAAGACACTCCCTTTCTTGCCTAGTCCATATTCTCTCTGGGAACCTCCGTCGAGCTAAACTGTATGGTGCCCTCCCACCCCCCGGCACTGCTTAGGGGTGGGAGTAACAGCCTTTCTTCTTATGTCACTTACTAGCTGTTTGCCCAGGATGACCCACTGCAGGCTCTCTGCGACAGAGACTGGACTGACAAACGAGCTGGCTGGCGGGAAGGGGACTCTGTTGATCATTCAGAAGAAAAGTCATGACTACCCCGAGCAACTCATGTTCTGCATCATGAGGCTATCGTACTGTACTTGTGTTGAGAACTGTTTAATTACTAAATGTCCTTCCTCAAATTAATTTGAATTCCTCCGTTAAAGGGGAAAACGGTGACATGTTGCATAAACTGCCACGATCGACTAGCATGGCTTGTTTCCTGCCTGGATTCTTACATGCACTAACAAGCAGTCATTGGAGATGAACGCAACAGAGATTAGCAACAGAGGGTACTGTGGCACCTTTGAGACTAACAGAAGTATTGGGAGCATAAGCTTTCGTGGGTAAGAACCTCACTTCTTCAGATGCCATCTCTGTTGCTTTTTACAGATTCAGACTAACACGGCGACCCCTCTGATACTTGGCAACAGAGATTGCAGCCATGAGTTCTAACCATGCATTAATGGCACATGAAGACTGTCAGAAGCACAGTAGCTGTATTTTAAAGAATGTACGCGACCCTGAGTGATTAGCGTTGAGGTAAACGTTGTATCCTTTTTCCCCCCCCAATCAGTGTTGAACTGCAAAGCAAACGGGATCAAATGCTACGTAGCGTTTGCAGTCAATTTGCACTGTAATGATGCTGCAGTGTAGCATTCGTCCCAGAGCTGGTGGGAATTGAAGCAGTTTAGCGTTTTTTAACACTGCTACTGCACATCTTAAGCAAAAGTGCCTTTAAGCAACCAGGAAAGTGAAATTCGAAGTTTCTAATGTCTGTGTTAACTCTTGGTAGAGATCAGAAGAGCAGTGCTCACAAATTTTGTTATCATGTACTTTTGTTTTAATCAAAAGCTTATAAATAGTTGCAGACAAATAGATCAATGCCTAGTGTGTACAGCGTGTGTGTGGAGACGTATATTTAAGTATATATACACACACATCTGAATATTATGTGTGAGATACAGGTATATATTATATAATATCAACCCCACGACGATTTTTACAACTTCCCACTCCCACCAAAAAAACACCAGCTCAGAATGGTGGCTGATTTTCCTCTCTTGGAGGTCGAATGGCCAGCCCTTGGGTCAGTTGGTTCAGCTTCATTTATGTCATCTGACCCAAGCTGAGAATCTGCCCGCTTGACTTTAATGGGGACAGGAGAGGGACCATTCACAAAAAGCACTCGTCTGCAGTTTAAGGACCAAATCCCCCTTGCCTTGCTCACATGACTAGTTCCACTGGACTTGTGTACACCAGGTTATTTTGGCTAAAGTTTACCACCAGAGATACCCACAATGCAACGCTGGTGCAGACCAAGTCTATGCAACATGGTGCTTAAAATGCCAGTGGCCGCCTTGTCTGCTCTAGTTCTGTGGGAGAAAGTGAACCGATGGTGGGAGAAGTGGGGAAATCTTAAGAAAAGAAGCCCAGTCTAGACACCACCATTGACTTCCACGAGGCTATTCATGTCAGTGAGGCAAGCAGGGTTAGGACCCTAAACACAATGTGGCTCCAACTAGAAGGGTTTCTCTTTTTCAAACACTCTTGGTAAAAAATACTTTGGCAATGTATCTGACTTGGACAAAACTGACTGTCTGTGGCTTTGTTGTGAATTAACTCCGGTAACGAGCAGAAATGTAATCCTGACCACTGGGAACATGGCTGGGTGATTTATCGGCCTGGGTGTCAGTGGACGTGCTGAAGTAAAAAAGTAAATAAATAATTGCCCCATTTTCTGCTCTGTTGCCTCTCGCGGAGAGCCTGACCCTGCCAGGTGCCTGGGTGTCCTCAATTCCTTCTGTGGCTTTGCAGGATGCATTCAAGAGCTTCCAGGATTAGACCCATAAATCTCAGCCCACAATAAACCTCTAAAGACTCTGAATGAGCAGAGCACTTAAGAATGTGCTTAACTTTAAGCAAGTAAGTAGCCCTAGGGGCCGACTCGTGCTAAAGTGCTGAATTCAGTCAGGGCCTAATAAGGCACTTCCGAAAGCTCTACAACATCGTCAGGGATAGTGACAGAGCAAATAATTGTCTTAAAAGGAATACAATGACCAGCTCCTGAGAGCTTCTGGCAAAAAGGTTTAATATATTTTGCTTAGCCACCTATAAAGTAATTTAGGGTTTGATCCTGTTCCCATTGGAGGGCATCTCCTGGAAGCAGAATCTGCTCCCTATGATTGTTGAAAATGACTGAGCGACTCGAAGGAACTGATCACAAATCATCAGTTCTGTTTAAAAGAATGCAGCTTTATTCTGCTGCACGCCAGGGCATGTGTAGTGGATTTCCTCAGCAGGATAGGTCAGGATTACTCCATGGGTCTGTTTTAGGGAAGATCTCACTTTAGCCGTGAGTTTTGCACAAAAGGCTCCTAATATTTACAACATGGTGGGGGTGGGAGAAACATATCTGTCTGCTCCTCCTGGTTGAGTCCTTTCTCTTTGCTCCATGGAACGACTTTGCATTTTGCATGGAGTTAAATTATTCCTCTTGACCATGGGTCATACCTAAAAACCAAGAGGGGCTGTTTGATAATGGTGGGGTCCATTAAAAATTAAATGTGCCGCAGATCCCTTGACCCTGGTGCATATTCTGAACAGGAGAGATGCTGTGGTGAAGTCAGGCCCACAGCTGGGTATTGGTTTATGCTTTATGCTGCCCAGTGTGAACGTTTATACTGCACATCTATGTGAATCTCCCTCGTTTAGCTTTGGCCCTGTGCCCCCCACAGGCAATTAACGAGATGACCCTGATGGAAGCTCTGAGTAGACTGAGGGTTGGATGCTGCATGTTTTTTTCCTTAGAAATGACTCACAATGCAGCAGGCCCATTGAAACGTGTCCCCCTGGAGCAGAGCAGTGACTCTCTGCTGCCTGGGGGAGTTTGGATTGTATGTTTATCCTGCTTATAACAGCAACAAGAGCCTCCAGCCCTCAGCATTTCCTGAATAATTCCTGCTGGGTGTAATTGACCCCAGGTTTCCATTGGACTCCTCAGCTAGTCATTAATCTTCAGGGAGTGCTCTGTGTGCCTCGGTTGTTGTTGTTTAATTCAATCCTGCTTTGATTGGTGTTGCTGGGCTGAGAATAGCCGGCCAGAGAAGCAGAGGCAGCCCCTTGGCTCTGACTTGATTTGTAAGTGTGGCTAATGCCAAGCATTTGCCCAAGGGGCAGAGAAACACGCTTTACATCAGACATCTCAGAGTCCGTCACATGAGCTCGCGCTAATAAATGTATAATCAGCCCTTATTGTTTATTATATTAGGAAGGGATGCACAACTGCTTTGTGTCTGTGAGGGCCTTGTGAGCCCTGCCCTCCCTGCAGCCACCATCCCTGGGGCTGAGGACTGTCAGCGATTGCAGGATTTTGCTGTTAATACTCTCTTGTTGGTTCTAGTATAACCTCCTTTCTGAGTGGTCTATAATTATAATCTCTTACCACCCATGCCTAATGCTGTACTAAGAGCTAATTAACCCTCAACATGCCTGGAAGGTAACTATTATTAAACCTCACTTTATCCAGCATGGTTAAGACACTTACCCAAGGCATCCAGCGGGTCAGTGTCAGAGACAGGATTAGACAGCAGCAGTTCCAAGTGTCCAGCCCCACGTTCAACCTATTGGCTCCAGTTCACCTGTTTTAGGCAGCCCGACATGTGGCATACAAGTTTTCAGTGTAGAAACATTTTCTGTTACAAGATGATTGTGTCGGGGCGGGGGGGGGTTGGTTTGGTTTGGTTTCCTGGCTTCACTTGCTGTGGTGAAAAGCAGATGACTTGAGAGCCGTGAATTAGGACTTGCTTGTGATGCCTTGTTAAAGATGGGATTTCAGAAGCCTCTCTGAATTTCTTGACCCTTCTGGGTAGCCTATGCCAGGTACTTAGTGTTACCATGGTGGTCAATGAGCTGTATTTCTGCTGGAGGGACACCAAATTATCGCCCAAACTAACTGGGCAGGGAAGTTGGGCCCTCAGTACCTATTGAATGTCTCAATGTGTGATTCTCCTTACCCCCCATTCCACAACAGGAGCTTAATGGGTAAGATGATGATAGCAAGCATGTCAGCGTTGTACACAACAGTCCAAATTCTGTCCTGATTCATTCGCTACCCCAGTCAAGTGAACCCGTACAATCAGTAAAGTTGCCTGGGACATAAGATGGGGCAGAACATAACCCAACATTTTCCATATACCCCCATGCAGCTACAGTGCAGTGCTGAACAGCATGCCTGTGTGGCTAGGCAGTGGCAATGTGATAATAGTAGATTGCAGAATCCTGGCCTCATTCAAGTCAATAGGAGTCTTGCCAGTGACTTCAGTGGGGGAGCATTTCACCCATAAAAGTTAGAGTTGGGAACGAGCTATGAAGTCACATCTGGGGCCAGTGCTAGCTCATTTCTTGCAGCACATTGTCCAGGGCTCTGTCCATTCTAGTATTAACCCGAGTAAAGACCCGAGCATGGGGCTTCCACCACTTCTCTTGAGAGAATATGTCACTGTCTTAGAGTACTCATGGTTAGGAGATTTTTTTTCCTGCTATTCAGCCCGTAAGGTAGCCGTGACCTAGTGGTTGGTGATAAAACTGAATCAAGAGACCTGTGTTCTGTTCCCGACCACGCTACTGATAATCTCTGTGACCTTGGTTGAGTCACTTCCCCTCTGTTTCCTTATCTGTAACATAGGGCTAATAACGTTTACCCACCTTGGTAAAGCACCTTGAGACCTGCAGGTGAGAAGACACACTCTGTGTTGCACCTCTGCAGAGTGTCTCTAACCTCCAGCAGCCTTGCCGGTGCTGCCTTTGGGATGATCCCAACCCCAAATCTCTGTAGCACTCAGTGCTATGCAGGATTCCCTTTCAACTCTTGCCAGCGCAGCAAGAGTCCCACGGCTGACAGGAGGGTAGCCTAGGCACACTCTTACACTAGAGGAATTCTTCCCCAGTCCCTTTGACTCAATTACAGCCCCTATTTGCCATGGGAGCAGCATGTAGGAGCCAAAGCAAGGAACAGAATTGGCCTGGAGAAACGTACATTAGTATTATTATGTGATGTTGCTGAATGCCCTCTCATTATTCCTTT